CTTCCAGAATTGCTAACACCTCCTCCTTATGAACCTCAATCCCGTCTCGTCTAATAGCCTGTATCTCAGTATTCTCCTCGACAACATTGTCTTTTTCCTGTGTGAATACTGATGAAAAATATTCATTTAGCGCCTCTCCTATCTCTTCAGACTCCACGCACAACTTCCCACTACTGTCCTTGACTGGCCCTAATCTTACTCTAGTCATGCTTTTATTCCGGACATATCAATAGAAAGCTTTAGGGTTTTCCTTGATCCTACCTGCTAAAGACTTCTCATGTCCCCTCCTGGCTCTTCTTAGCTCTCTCTTTTGGTCCTTCCTGGCTAACTTGTAACTGTCAAGCGCCCTAACTGAGCCTTCACGCCTCATCTCTACATAAGCATCCTTCTTCCTCCTTGACAAGAGATACAACTTCTTTAGTAAACCACGGTTCCCTCGCTCGACCACTTCCTCCCTGCCTGACAGGTACATACTTCTCAAGGACGCGCAGTAGCTGTTCCTTGAACAAGCTCCACATTTCAATTGTGCCCAGCCCCTGCAGTTTCCTTCTCCATCCTATGCATCCTAAATCTTGCCTAATTGCCTTTCCCCCAGCAATAACTCTTGCCCTGCGGTATATACCTATGCCTTTCCATCGCTAAAGTAAACGTAACCGAATTGTGCTCACTATCACCAAAGTGCTCACCTACCTCCAAATTTAACACCTGGCCTGGTTCATTACCCAGTACCAAATCCAATGTGGCCTCACCTTTGTTGGCTTATCTACATACTGTATCAGGAAACCCTCCTGCACACATTGGACAAAAACTGACCCATCTAAAGTACTCAAACTATAGCGTTTCCAGTCAATATTTGGAAAGTTAAAGTCCCCCATAACAACTACCTTGTTACTTTCGCTCCTATCCAGAATCATCTTTGCAATCCTTTCCTCTACATCTCTGGAACTTTTCGGAGGCCTATAGAAAACTCCCAACAGGGTGACCTCTCCTTTCCTGTTTCTAACCTCAGCCCATACTACCTCAGTAGACAAGTCCTCATCAAACATCCTTTCTGCCACCGTAATACTGTCCTTGACTAACAATGCCACATCTCCCCCTCTTTTACCACCTTCCCTGATCTTACTGAAACATCTAAACCCCGGAACCTGCAACAACCATTCCTGTCCCTGCTCGATCCATGTCTCCGAAATGGCCACAGCATCGAAGACCCAGGTACCAACCCATGCTGCAAGTTCACCCACCTTATTCCAGATGCTCCTGGCATTGAAGTAGACACACTTCAAACCCCCTTCCTGCCTGCCGGTACACTCCTGCGACCTTGAAACCTTATTCATGACCTCACTACTCTCAACCTCCTGTACACTGGAGCTACAATTCAAGTTCCCATCCCCCTGCTGAATTAGTTTAAACCCTCCCGAAGAGCATTAGCGAATTTCCCCCCCAGGATATTGGTACCCCTCTGGTTCAGGTGTAGACCATCCCCTTTGTAGAGGTCCCACCTACCCCAGAATGAGCCCCAATTATCCAGGTGTCTGAATGCCTCCCTCCTGCACCATCCCTGTAGCCATGTGTTCAACTGCTCTCTCTCCCTATTCCTCGCCTCGCTAGCACGTGGCACAGGTAACAAACCAGAGATAACAACTCTGTTTGTTCTAGCTCTAAGATTCCACCCTCGCTCCTTGAATTTCTGCCTTACATCCCCATCCCTTTTCCTACCTATGTCGTTGGTGCCTATGTGGACCACGACTTGGGGCTGCTCCCCCTCCCGCTTAAGGATCCCGAAAACACGATCCGAGACATCACGGACCCTGGCACCTGGGAGGCAACACACCAACTGCGAGTCCCTCTCGTTCCCACAGAATCTCCTATTTGTCCCCCTAACTATGGAGTCCCCAATGACTAATGCTCTCCTCCTTTCCCTTCTGAGCAACAGGGACAGACAACTAGGGATTGTAAAAGTATTAAACTCGCTGATTCTCATACCGGGGCAATTTCTCTCCAAGAAGCAATGGAATAAGGTTGGGGTAGGGGTATTACTTGGGGAATTGTTGTGTTACATACCTAGCAAGCAAAGTATGACTATATTTCCTTCAGCATTCACAGATGCCACTGTTCCTGGTCACCAAGATCTTCAGGTACTTGTGAGTGAAGTGCTGAGCCTGGTTTTCCAAGTAGGGACTGCCCATTCCTTGATCCCCTTCACACCAAATTATAAAGTGACAAATTCGAACACATAAACATCATACGTATAAGAATAAATCCACAGTGGATTTCTCTTCCCTCACAATCCAGAAAAGAACAAGGAATTGTTTGAACAGTGTTGTAGAGTCAGCAGCTGCCTTTCGCTGTCTTCTGACAGATTGCTATGTTCCTATTTATCACTACTGCAGTTTCTTCCTCCTGTTTTTATGGCCCTACTTCGCTCTGGCCCAGGTGATTCTGGGCTACCTGTCTTACAATGGTTCTGATCTACACTGGTAGCTCTTGGCTCTGCACTATCCCTTGACTTTGAACTACCTGTTGTGCCACAGTTCTGACTTTTTTTTTGTCACTTGATACGCCAGTGTATGAGACCACCTGAAACTGAGTCTCCAAACATTGATTTTTTGACAGGGGGTCTGTGATGTATGTGCGAGTCATTGCATTGTGACGTACAACTCGTAACATGACTGCAGGAAAATTTTGCATTTAGTTCCTCAGATATCCAGTGCCGTGTCTGGTAATAAGTATGATGTATATTGCAGACCCCTGTAGCTTCTGTACACAGCATATTTGACTTCTAAAAACGTTAGTAGTGAGAATTACTTTTAGCCATTTGATGTTCATTTGTCATCGAAGACACCTTGGATGCCTTTACACCCCGTGGACTGCAACAGTTCAAGAATTCAGCTCATCACCATTTCCTCAAGGGGAACTAGGAACAGGCAATAAATGCTGATCAGCCGGTGATGCATACATCTTACTGGATGAGGCTTTCATTGGGATGAAAGGTACGACGAAGTTTCTTGAGTATGTGAGGTGACCATGATTTCATACTAGGCAGGGATTTGTTCTATGGTGTTTGAGGTGGCTGGGAATCTGGAAGGCAGAAATGAGAGTTAGGACAGGGAATGTGATCAGATTGGTTTCATTTGTCAATGACTGCTGTCTTCTCTGTGTTCCAGGTGCCACCCATCAGCAGCTGATAGAGGGTGCAGAGAAGGCAAGTGAAGGAAGGGTTATAGGGAGATTTTTCAGCTTCTACCCTGAACGAAATGTGGACCTGACTGCTTGGCTGGCGAGCTGGATGAAGAAAGGAGCTATTGCAGTAGCAACTATGAACATGCAAATTGCTGTGCCGGAGGGTGAAGGGATCCCAGATGCTTGGCATCATCAGATGATCTTTGGAGTGGACTCTGAAGGGATTTACATGACCAATCCCTTAGAAATAGGTGGGTACAGGAGACAACCTGATTTCCCACTCCCATCACTCATCCTCCCCTGTACCAGAAGAACTGGTAAACCAGATTTTAGTAAATCCACAGCCAGTAAAATGTTCTGAGAACATCAGCCATTGCCATCATTCATCACTTCAGACAGAAGCAAACTGTTCTAAATCATTGCAGCAATTTATTCAATAGGACATAACCATATTCATGCTATTGTTGAGCCAATTTTTACAAATGAAATTCACCTCTTCATTCTGGTGTAAGGATTGGCTTCTCCAGTTTCTGGTCTCAATATCCTTTCATTTCTGGGTAAATGTTGTTTGGCGAGACGCAGTTTTCAGTGTCAAACTGAGCTCTTTCTTTCACTTTGAGCCTGCCAAACTGTTAGTTGCTCTGAAAGTGCAAGATAACCTCCATGGTCCAATTTAAGTAGGTGTGTGTACCCAAATCATATAAGCCAAGTTGGGAAAGCTGTTTGAAAGGCAGATTGGTTCAGAAAGACCAGAGTAAGAAAGTTATGTAAAATCTTTACAAAACCCTGAGACTTCAATTAGAGAATTGCTCTGAATATCACACTGTAGGAAGGATTTTAAAAGCCTTGGAGAGGTTGCAGAGAGGATTCACTAAAATTACCCTAGAATTAACAGACCTCAGTTAATGTTGGGCAGCATGAAACAGAGAAGGTAAAGGAAAATTTGACTGAGATGTTCAAAGTCTTGAAGGTTTTGTTAAAGGAAGATTTGATAACCAGAGGACACAGATTTAAGATGAATGGCAAAACAACCCAAGATGATGAGCTCAACTGCAAGTTGTTGTGATTGGAATGCAGAACCTGAAAACATAATGAAAGCGGTTTCAACCAAACTTTAGAGACAGCATTGGTGCTCTCTTGGAACTGGCTCTCTGATAGTGTTGCACTCACCCGCTCCTTTTGGTGGTCATATTTGAGGGAGCGTGGTGTATTTGAGGGGCATTACTACACTGGAGTGTTAGCTTTGATCATTGTGCTAAAGCCTTTTGACTGGACCTTGAATGTGCAACCAACCAGCAGTCAGGTTATTATCTGAGAAGCTATATTGACATTGCCGACGTGAACTGGATAAATGACCAAGTGACAATTGTCATGTTTTGGATGCAGTCACATTGTGTGTTGTAATATCTTGCTATTGTGCTATCCCTACCATTGATATCATACAGCTTCAACCAAGGCCTGGATCCTGTGCTGGGATTGGTGACAAGGATGGAACTGTGAAACTGAATCGTTGGGACTTCCTACTGGTTCCCATGTTTCCCGTTCCTCAGGACTAAAACTTGGCTTTCAATGTGAGAATGCAGATAACTGACTGAAGATGTCTGACTAACTCTTGAGTCTAACAATATCTCCCTTGTCTGCAGAGAGAAGCAGCCTTGTTAAGCAACGCCTATGCAGTGAATCGCAGTTGCTGATTCGGATGCAAGATATCATGAGTCGGTTGTCGGGGGACCCAGACTTCTCTTTGCTTAAAGAGACTCTGGACCATTCCATGTGGGAGGAGCTGGATGTTGTAGGTGAGTGCAGTGAAGTTTCTCTGAGTTACCCACTCAAGGGGGTCATAAAGATCAGAAATGCCAAATATTGTCTTCCAGTGTATGAAGCATACTGCATTTGTTATAGTCCTAACAGCAAGGCCAATGCTGGGAATTCTAAGGCAAGTGACTACCTCCTGACTCCCCAAAACCTGTCTGCAATCAACAATGCACAAGTCGGGAGGCTGACGAAATACTGTCGTTTGCCTTCACTAACATTCTAGGAGCTTGACTGCATCAAGGTCAAACGGCCCAACCGTTCATGTCTCCACACTCACTTTCTCCTGCAGTGACACTCAGTAGTGGCAGTGTGTATCATCTACAAGATGTGCTGCAGCAACTCGCCCAGGCTTCTAGGACAGTACCTTCCAAACTCTCAGCTTCTACCACCTAGAAGGTAAAAGCAGCAGGTACATGGAACACCACCTTCTGCAAGTTCCCCTCCAAATCGCTCACCATCCTGATTGGAAGCACATTGCTGTTCCTCAGGTGATAATCCAGTGCAGTGCTAAGGGAAAATTGCACTGTAACAGATGTGTCAGTTAGATTAGAAGTTAAATTGCAGCCTGTGGACCTGCTTGGGCAGATATAAATGGTACAGCGGCATCATTTTGAAAAAGTGCAAGGGAGTTCTTCTCTGTGTCCAGATTAAAATTTGACCCTCGGCTAGTTTTTTTTAATGTTGATTATCAGATTTATGTGGCATCTTGCTGTGCACAAATCAGCTGTTCTGATTTCCATATTACAACAGTGCCTACACTTCAGAAGTAGTTTATTGGTTTTACATCACTTTGAGTGGTCTGATTGGAATGAAAGGTGAATGCAAGTCGTTCATTCTTTTTTTTCTTTCCCATTAAAGCCCTGAAACTCCCTCCCTTATGGCAATGGGACAGTTTTTAAATCTTGTCAAATGCAGGAAAAGGGAAGATTGCAGGAGGTGGATAGTCTCATAGTGTTGAGAAAATAAATTGGAGTTCAACAGCATGTTAAAAGGAATGCTCACTTCAGTGTAACCCGCAGTAAGCAAAGGAGTGACTCTGTTTATTTCCTCCTCAGGGCAGATTAATCGGATGGTTTCTGGGGATGTTGCTCCAGATGATGTTTCTCACTCGTCCTATGTGGTGATTCCTGCAGCATACAGGTCAGGGGTCACACTGTTTGCCCGGAGACACTTGGACCTGACCAAGGAGCTTTTATTAACACCTGAGCTTCCTCTATTAAATGACCAGTAATCTTGATGACTACACAGAGCAAAGAGAACTTACAGTCCACTTCATCAAAACCTCCAGGAACCTAAGAATTTACTGAACCCCATCAGACGATCTTTTCAGTACGAATGATGCAAGATCAAAGAAAGAAAAGCAACATCAGCATGAGGCTCCTTGTTCTGAGAAGTGTGTTAGTGTGTCAGGCTGTCGTGTGAGAGGCAGCGTATGATTTTGAGAAGTAAGTGGGTCTGAGGTTGCATGCAGGTCAGTGTTGATGCACCGTAAACCAGCTGGTTTGAAGTTTGCAGTAGGTAGTGATCCTCCTTCCAACTAACTTGCCACTCTGCTTTCTCAAAGTTTTATTTACACTCATTGTGCCTCCATTCTTCCCCAGCCTGATGTGGTAGAGCATTGTTTGAACTGGGCCCTGTACCCCAGGGATTCCTGCACAGTAATCGAGCAGGAACCCTGGCTGATACTCCCAATCTAGACCAGAATCTTGAGGGTAAGTGCCCCTTACTGAGATTAGCAAACTCACACCTACTGAGCTTCCAGCCCTTGCTGATGAACTGGGAGAGCTTTGATACTGAAAACAAAGACGACTTAATGCAGATGGAGCAGAAAACCCAGAGCCTCCCTCACGTGCTCTTACTCATACTGTTTTGCAAAGAGAATTTGATTACTTGTTAAATAATTCAGGGTTTTTTTTCTGAAATGGTAACTTAACACATTAGAATTTATTTTGTTCAAGTATTTTAAATGTTAATTCTGTGTAGCACGGCTCCTATAGTTCCAACAGCCTTGTCATTACTGCCTAGAATGTGTGTGTGGGGATGGCCTACTCTTAAACAGCATTAACAATTTTAAATTTGAGCAAGAACTTATACAGAGTTTATTTTATTCAGAGTTTGACTGAGATGAGTGGTGGTGACAGGTTGTGTAGTTATGTTCTATAATCTTTAAGGTCTTTGTTGTACATTTTATTGAGATTAAATGTGTTCATATTTTGAAAGATTGAGTCAGTGATAACTTTTTTTGAAATTCTAATCTCTGGGATCTGTTCCAATCTTAAACAGAACTCTGCATGGAGGGACTGTTGCACTTTGCCACCTGGACATCCCATTGGATGATTGAATGAATAATTTTTACATCAAACTCACTCTTTACCGTCATTCCACATTGTCCTCCTTCGTCCACCACCTTGTTGCAAAGTAAATTCTCAACAATACTCAATCCTATCTTCAGCCAGAGTTAAGATCAATCACACTCACAGGAGTCATAGCTTACTAAGGAAGAGCAGTTTTCTTGCTGTGATTACCATCTCAATGAGCCCAAAGTCACCAGTTGTGGAGTTCCTTCTTGCATGTAGCATGGACCTTAAATACCCATTAATGGTCCTGTGAAGTGTCTGAATACTTATTATCCATTAAAGATGTTATCAACTGCAAGTTGAACTAAGTTGTTTAATGTTCTTCCAAAAGATGACCCCTCCGACAGCGTGGCGCTTCCTCCGACAGCGCGGCGCTCCCTCAGCGCTGACCCCTGTATATTGTGGACTCTGAAGGAGAGCAATGTAAGTATTCACATGTGGCAGCATCTGTTTAGCCAGAAACCGAAGTAAGACTTTATGTTGACAACAGCTTACGTTTTTATAGCACCTTTTAAGATAATGAAGCATCTCTGGGTCACTCTGTGTGTTACACTGCACTGATGGAGCATGGCGAAATCAAGCCTTGTTATTTCTAGAGTTGTATTAAACATTAAAAATGTTATCAGAGAATACAAATTTACATATGAAATCGATCCAGGCTAACTGAACACACAGACCAAGTTTGTGTATGTAACAAGAAGTTCTATTTATTATAAATACAGATTCTAATCACGGGCAAACAGCTATGAACTGTTGACATAATTCTATTTGTTAAAACTCTAATCCCCTTCATCCCCCATCTCTGCCCCCATGGGGATAAAATTGGTTTTATGTGTAGAGAGAGTAAAAGCCTGGGGAAATAGTTCAATGGTCCCTGTCTACCAGGTTTGCTGAGATGATCCTTTTGTTTGTCAGGACTTGCTACTCTTCAATTTCTCCTCAGGTTGTTTTCACTCCCTCACAGGGACAGAAGCAATTGGTACATTGGCTGCAAAGTTTCTTAGTTTCTGGTTAAAATCAACAACTTACAGCAACTGGTAAGTGAAAATAAGCTGGTTTTACTCAGAGTTCAGATATATTACTAAAGAAAGAGATACACCATCTGTGCCTTTCAGTAGTTCAAGGCTTCTGCCTGTATCGTTTTTGCCCACAAGCTTCCCAGGGTCCAATCAAATAGTTGCTGTCAGGGTAATAGCAATTTTTACAACTCCATGAATCAATCAGCAACTTATTGTTTATCAAATCTTACTCTGTGTACAACCTACCTCTCTTATTCCTCTCCATCACCACCTCAGCTGTGTGAGAACATTTACAATGAGTTCCAGTAACTTATTTTTTAAAAGTTCCTTTCACAGTCCTTGGTTTTAAACCAGTCCACTTCTAAGTTCAGTGCATAATCAAAAGAAAAGTAAAAATAAGGTCTTTGAATTATAACATTGTAAAACAAAGTATAAGACACACCATACAACCTGGTGCAAAAAGGCCTGTTTTAAGGAGCATAAGGAGAGGTCCAGGTAGTTTAATATATGGGCACCAATGGTAGACTGATTAAAATTGGGATGCACAAGAGGCCACAGTTTCAGAGACATAAAGATCTCAGAGGGTTGTCAGTACAAAGGAAGTTACAGGAATGGGGAAGTAAAGAACTGTGGAGGGGTTTGAAATCGGGAATAAGAATTTTAAAGACCTTACTTGACTGAGAGTTAGTGGCTGTCAGGGAGCATAGGAGTGATGGGCGAACTAGACTTGGTGGAAACAAAAACATTTAAAAAAGAGTGTAGGCCATTTAACCCTTCAAATGTGCCCTGCCATCCATTATGATGATGGCTTATCATCCAACTCAATAGTTTGTTCCTGCCTTTCCCCCATATCCTTTGATCTCTTTAGCCCAAGAACTATATCCAACTCCTTGAAAGCATACAAAGTTTTGACACTGACTGCTTTCTGGGGTTAAATAATTTCAACAGGCTCACCACTCTCTGGGTGAAGCAGTTTCTCCTCACCTCAGTCCTAAATGGTTTACTCTGTATCCTTAGACTTGTGACCCTTGGTTTTGGATCCCCTAACAGGAGCGTCCTGTTAGAATTCTGTAGGTTTGAGATCCAACCCCTCATTCTTCTTAACTCCGGTGAATATAATCCTAAACGACTCAACCTGTCCTCATGCTTCAGTCCCGCTAACGCAGCAAGCAGTCTGGTAAACCTTTGGTGCACTCCCTCTAAACAAGAACATACTTCTTCAAATAAGGAAACCAAAACTGCACACAAGACCGTGAGAAATAGGAACTGGAGAGGGCCGTTTGGCCCCTCAAGTCTGCTGTGCCATCTGATAGGATCATGGCTGACCCAACCTTTCCTCACGACCACTTTCCTGCCCTTTCCCTGTTACCGTCGATTTCCCCTTACTGATCAAGAATCTCTGTCTCAACCTTGAATATGCACAAGGACTCTATGCTACAGCTCTCCAAAGCAAGGAATTCCAAGGACTCAACCCTCAGAGAGAAGAAATTCCTCCTCTTCTCGTTCTTAAATTAGTGACCCTTTATTCTGGAACTATGTCCTCTAGACCTAGACTCTCTCATTGAGAGGAAATATCCTCTCAGTATTTACCCTGTCAATCCCCTTAAGAATGTTATATGTTTCAATGAGATCATCTCTTTCTTCTCAACTCCAGTGAGTAGAGTCCCAACCTGTTTAGCCTTTGATCATAACACAATCCCTCCATACCTGGTGTCATACTTTTTACAAAAAATTCTACCCAGAAGTTATCACACACAACAGGGTTGACATTCCCACCATCAAAATCACTGATGTTTTTTAGCTTTTTTTTTTACTAATAACCACCTCCAGTAAAAACAGCTGTGTAGGCCATTGGGTATTTACAAGTAAAGCCCATTATGGGGAATGCAAACCATCAAAGGTGAGGAGGGTGGGGTAGGGAGAGCAGGAAGAGACTAAATCAAAATAGATTTGGGAATCATACTATTAGACTTTCTGTTAAGTGCCTCCAATTAAATGATATCCTTTCTGTTTCATGTACAAATACTCCCAGGTCTATTTATGTTGAAGTTTTTCTAAATATGCTGCTATTACTTCCTTTAATTATTAATTCAACTTTTTGCTGCCTCTTTTGATTAAGGATGTCACATTAGCAGTTTTCCAATCCTCCAGTACTTCTTCAGAATCCAAGAAAATTACAACTAATGCATCCACTATCCATGTAGCTACTTCTTTTAGGATCCTAGGATGTAAGCCATCAGGGCCAGGGGACTTATCTGCTTTTATTACAATGTCTAATACTGTATCTCTAGTGATAGTACTTAATTCCTCCCCTGTATTCTTTAGTATTAATGGGGTGTTTTAAGTATCTTTCACTCTAAAGGCTGATGCACAATATTCCAGGTGTGGTCTCACCAAGGCTCAGTATAGTTGCAACAAAACATCCCTGCTCTTGTACTCAAATCCTCTTGCTATGAAGGACAGCAAACCCGAATGCCGTCTTTAATGTCTGTGTGTTTACTTTTCAGTGGCTCCCAGGTCTCATTGCACATTCCTCACTCCTCTTAATTTATCGCCGTTCAGTTAATTATCTGCCTTCCTATTTTTGCTACCAAAGTGGATAACCCCACATGCATCTACATTATACTGCGTCAGCCATGCATTAGCCCACTCTCTCAGCCTATCCAAATCATACTGAAGCATCTCTGCATCCTCCTCACAGCTCATCCTCCCACCCAGCTTTGTGTCATCTGCAAACTCAAAGATATTATACTTAATTCCCTCATCAAAATCATTAATATATTTGGTGAATATCTGGGATTCTAGCACTGAACATAGAACATAGAACATTACAGCACAGTACAGGCCCTTCGGCCCTCGATGTTGCGCCGACCTGTGAAACCAACCTGCGGTACCCTGTTAGTTACTGTCTGCCAACCAGATTTCTGTAGAGATAGTAGGAACTGCAGATGCTGGAGAAGTCTAGGCCCAAAATGTCAGCCTTCCTGCTCCTCTGATGCTGCTTGGCCTGCTGTGTTCTTCCAGCTCTACACCTTGTTATCTCAGATTTCTGTTGATCTCTGTACACTACCCCTAGTCCCATGCGTTTTAATTTTACACAATAATCTCTTATGTGGGACTTGATTGAAGACTCTCTCAAACTCCAAACAAACCTGTTATGGGAATAAATCAGGATTAGGCTGTTGAGTTGGACAATCAGCCTGATTGTGTTTAATGGTGGAGCAGGCTTGAAGGGCCGAATGGCCACATCCTGGTCCTATCTTCTATGTTTCTATGTACCTGACGCCCAAGGTCTGTCTGTTCAATAACACTCCCCAGGGACATACTTTTAATTGGATAAGTCCTATCCTTGTTTGTTCTACCAAAATGCAATACCTCACATTTATCCAAATTAAACTGCATCATCCACTCCTCAGCCCTTTGACCCAATTGATCAAGATCTCTTTGTAACCTTAGATAACCTTCTTCACTGTCCTACTATACACCAATTTTGTAAACCTACTAACCACGCCTCCGATATTCTCATCCAAATTGTTCAAATAAATGACAAACAAAAGTTGACTTAGTGTCGCTATCTGTGGAACACTGCTGGTCATAGGCCTCCCGCTTGAAAATCCTGCAACACCACTCTGTCTCCTGCCATTAAGCCAATTTTGTATTCAATTGGCAAGCTCACCCTGAATCCTATGTGATCTAACTTTATTAATTAGTCTACTATGTGGAACTTTGTCAAAGGCTTTACTAAAATCCAAGTAAACAACACCCATCGCTCTACCCTCATCAACCTTCTTGGTTACTTGCTCAAAAAAGTCAACCAAGTTTGTAAGACACAATTTTCCTCCA